CTGGTTTCTAGCCTGATGCATTAACTACTACTACACCAAACTAGCTTTCATCTTCCGATATTGCCCATCTTGATAAACAGACTAGAATAGCAGCCACCTGGAAGAATGCCAACTCTGATATGCATTCCTCACTTTAAAATTCCCATGCTTAAAATTTGTCCACTGTTGTCTTGTTTTTCAGCCTTTCACAATTGAAGAATGTTTGGGATCTTTTCTATTTCAATGTCAAAATTTTACAGTATAACAATGGAAGCTCATTCTGCCTCATTATTATTGAACTTCTAGTGATGGGGAAATTAGCAATTAGCAAGCAGTTAGACTTATATACTGCTTCATGGTACTTTACAGCCCTCTCTAAGTGATTACAGAGTCAGCATATTGTCAGTATATAAGAGTTCATGAATTGGAATAGACATGGCTACAGGTCAGCCAATGGGGACTGTTTGGTGACTCAGACAGTTTGGAACCTGGGCGTGGTTTAGTTTAACTGTTTCTGTATATAAGAGCTTGAGTGCACTGGCACTAGCTTGCTTCCATTTTGTGCTGTGAAAGAACTGCATGGGTATTGTATACATGCATCATGTTTTATATTATTTATTGTAAGGTCCCAAAATATACTTGAGTCACCAGAATGCCAAAGAGAGAGACTCAAGACGAGGCTTGCAAAAAAACAGATTTTATTTAAGGCCAAAAACAAAATACTGGGTGGGACTATATCCAGAACATACAGATACAATGCATGTGAGGAGATAGCCACACCTTGGGGAAGGTATGGTGTCCTTTTATACCCTCAGAGACTCAGCTTAGTACCCAATTCTGGCCTCCTAATTTAGGTTTGTGTATTCCTTGTTGCCCTGCAAGGGTATAGAAACTTCCCAATTAGTCTTATCTCTTCCTTGAGTATTCCTTTGTTTTCTCAATTGGCCATTTGGCCCCCTGGTTCTGCAAGGAACGAGCTTATACAGATCAAAGGCATAAATTAGGGTTGAGGTGTAAATTATCTCTTGGTTGATGTCTGCAGTTTCAACTAAGATAGGTACCATGCTCTTAGATGGCACAAGAAAAACAGGAAGAAGATTGATATGGGTTTAGGTCAAATGGCAGGGACATACGTTTGACAAATACCAGATAATAACAATATGTTTGTAACAAAATATAAAGGAATAATATATGTGATACAACTACAAAGGCACAATATATGTGTTACAGGAACCTAATGGTTACAGAATAACAAGTTTTTACTAAATCTAATATATCAGTATTTTATATTCTATCCTTATTACTGTTTCCCTTCAGTATATAAAGAAGCTTCTTCTATAAATGAATCCTGATGAATTATTAATTTGTATGCTGGTTGAATTGCTGCAAACTCATATTGCGCCCAACAATCTGGGTCCTTATTTTACCTGACCTTGGAAGGCTGAGTCAACCTTGAGCCGGTGAGACCCGAACTGCCAAACTGCTGGCAGCCAGTGATCAGCAGAAGCAGCCTGCAGTACTGCATTCTAATCACTGTGCCACCATGGCTCTTTTTATGATTTTAGGCTAAATTGTATGATTTTAGGGGGGGAAAGAGTTGTTTCCCAATTTGCACAAGTTAGCGGTTAGAAACAATATATATATATATATTAAAGAGAAAATTATTACAGTCTGCAGTTTCAAATATGCTAGCTGGATGCAAATTTCTCTGGATAGATTAGACTAGTGTTTTTAAAGTTTGGCAACTTTGAGATGCATGGACTTGAACTGATAAAATTTTTCCAGCCAGCAATTCTGTGAGTCCAAGTCCACCCATTTTAAAATTGCCAATTTGAAAATCAGATTAGACTCAATTTAAATAAATACACTTTGGATGAAAACTACAGAAGAGTGTAAATGAATATTCTTATGTCATGATTTCTATTCATCACTAATCTCAACAGTCTTGCATTTGTATGTTTAAAGTGGGGAATAATAGTATAATGGCATCATTAAAACAATCAGGGCTAATTTTTTTTAAAGGGCTAATTAGAGAACCAATTTGGTGTAGTGGTTAGGGCACCAGGCTAACAAGTGGGAGACTGTGAGTTCTAGTCCTGCCTTAGCCATGGAAACCAGTTGGGTGACCTTGGGACAGTCACTCTCTCTCAGCCTAGCTCATTTCACAAGGCTGTTGTTGTGAAGAAAATAGAAAATAGAAGGGGGAAGGAACATTAACTATGTTCGTCACCAAATAAACATAGGGTTGTGGATTTTTCCACCTTAAAATAAGTGTGGTACATACCCAATTTAAATCTTGTTTTTGAAAAATAAATGTGTCATAGAACTTTGCTAATTAGTGGTATAATACTGGAGATCTCAGGGCATTTTAAATAGAAGACTGACAAAGACTGACATATGTCCTGTCTTGCCCTCCCTTGGTTTAAAGAGCTGCTCTTTAAAGCAACCAAGTTTGAAGATTCTTTTGTGATCAGAACTTTTTCATTCACTATTAAGAGCCACCGAGTAGATTGATCCTGACCAAGCCAAGGCTGGAAGACTAAGCACTGAAGACTCTGCTGCTTATACACTAAACTTTTATAATTTTAGGCATCCCTCCCCCAAAATGCTACTAGCACACAGCAGCCTTAAGGTGTTGACACCGGACTATTAATGAACCCTAAATAATAGTGTCTGAAAGATTTAATTCTAATCCGTTTCTGATGCTTTCCTCTCTGTGATGGCTTTGCATTCATAACAGAACATAACAATCATTTTGACATTCCCTTTATAAGGGTTGTTATTAATAGTGCTTCTGTTTATTGATTTCTCTGGATAGATAATCATTCTTGAGCTGATGCATAGTGGGATCTGGGCTGAATAACGGATGGTGGTGAGAATTACAGAGCAAACTGAAACAAGCCAGAGGATATGGTACTGAAGGAAGACCTCCTGACTTGAGATAAAATTGCAGACAGGGGAAGAGGCTCTGATCAGATCTGGATACGGCATGATGAATTACTCTATTACTTTTGGGATAAAAAGAGGAAAGGAGCACACGTCATAGAAAACGAAGAGTGGGAAAGAACTGATCTGAACAATTCAGATAGACAATGACATTGCAACATTACACCAATTCTCCACGAGCTGCACTGGCTCCCTATCGGTCTCCGGGCACAATTCAAGGTGTTGGTTATTACCTTTAAAGCCCTACATGGCTCAGGGCCAGGCTATCTTCGAGACTGCCTTCTACCACATAGCTCCCAGCGACCGGTAAGATCCCACAGAGTCGGTCTCCTCCGGGTCACGTAAGCTAAACAATGTCAGCTGGCGGGTCTGCGGAGGAGGGCCTTCTCTGTGGCTGCCTCGGCTCTCTGAAAGCAATTACCTCCTGAAGTCCGGACCGCCCCCACCCTATTGTCCTTCCGCAAAGCAGTGAAGACCTGGCTCTTCTGGCAGGCCTGGGGCCGTTGATCTCGTTATAGTGATCTTGCAAGACCCGGCCACAAATTGGAGTGTATGTGTTTTAACGTTTTAATGTTTTAATGTCTTCTTTTAATTTTTGTATGGGATATTGTTGCATTGTTTTATTCTCTGTTGTAAGCCACCCAGAGTCCCTTGGGAGTGGGGCGGCATAGAAATGAGACTAAATAAATAAATAAATAAATAAATAAATAAATAAATAAAATGCAGGCAAAAAGGATGGAAATGAAAAAAAATGAAGTCAGCTCTAAGCCCCCAAACTCCGTTATTTATAAAAATCAATAGGGAAGAAATAGGTTAAGCAAGAATTTTTCTCCCTTTTTCTGTTTTCAGTGAGAGGCTGTTTTCATGAAAGCAAACCCTGCATCACCTCATGTTCACTCGGTGCCAAAGTAAGAGATGTGTATTTACTCTTTTGAAGCTAGGCTGATTTTTATTAACTTTACTGACTTTTTAAAATTCTGGAATTTGGAGAAGACTGAAAGACAAAGTATAATGAAAATGTTGATTTGCAGACATTCTGGCCATTCCTGTTAGGTGATTTCTAGAAAATCGGGAGGGGAATCACTGTTTTGACACCATGACTCCTTAAATTATAAATCTTTATATTAGACTATTTCTATGTAAAGTTGTAATTTCTATGTAAAATCATTAGGCGTTTTGAAACAAATGATACCAATACATAATTGTCACACTATTTTATTGCTCTTCATCATTAAACACCAAAAAAATGGTTGACAGTCCAAGCATTATGTGGGCTTCATAATTGATTAAATGAGTATGAGCAAGCTGAGTTTAAATACAGACTTGCTGTTGGTTACTAAAAAATCAGGAACTGAGTGTCAATTTATTACTGTAGTATCCTTGAACATGTTGGGAAGTAGGAGTAAAGGATGCATGTCAGCACAATTATGTTTATTATACAATTTGGGCCTAATACAATATTATACTGCTAGTAAGGTTACTATTTTTGAAAAGCATTAAAAAATTTCCTATGAGGCAAAGTACAGTGTCTTTGCCTCATAGGAGTGGAATCGTGTCATAATTACACTGAAAGTTAGCACGGTTGTTAGTTCTTTTCAGTGTGTAATACCATGGTTTAAACTAGTGGTGATTCAAAAAATTTTACTACTAGTTCTACAGGCGTGGCTTGGTGGGTGTGGCATGGCGTGGTGGGTGTGGCTTAGTGGGCCTGGCAGGGGAACGATACTGTAAAATCTCCATTCCCTCCCCACTCCAAGGGAAGATTACTGCAAAATCCCCATTTCCTTCCGATCAGCTGGGACTTGAGAGGCAGAGAATAAGTGGGGGCAGGGCCAGTCAGAGGTGGTATTTACCAATTCTCCGAACTACTCAAAATGTCCGCTACTCGTTCTCCAGAATTGATCAGAACCTGCTGAATACCACCTCTGCTTTAAACATTTCGAAGCCCCAAATAGCATTTGGTTTGTCTGAGACAAAATGTTTTGAGTGACAGGGCGGCAGGAATGTCAGCTAAATGTTGCAAGAAATAAGTCAATAATTAGGATTAAAGGTGAAATTTAAGAGATTTGTCTTACCTTATCAGCAGAAGATGAATGCAGGGAAATGAATAGAAAGGGAGATCAGCATAGGGATACATGTGGATTAGCTTTTGCTTCCCTGAGACTTGTAAATTTATTAATAGCTGAGCTAGAAGTGTTAGCTCTAGGCTAGCTATAGTGATGATGGTCAACTACTTACAAAAGCTCACATTCCAAGAGGCTGTTTGTAAGCATACTTATGTGGCCCATTATAAACTAACCCTTTCCTGCCTTCTGTCTTCCAGGATCTTCTAGATTGTAATATAAAAAGAGATGAAACAAATATATATACCTTGAATTTCAAAAGCTTGAAGACTATTGTCTAAAGTTTTTGTTTCCATTTTAAGCAAAACAGTTGGGGTTTTTTGCCTAAGAAAGGAAGAAAGATTTCAAAAATCCCCAGTAATTTTTTTACAGAGCATGTAGATTTGATTATATAAATACCAATTGGGAGAAAACAATATTCAATATTCAGATTGGTTCCAACTGCAATCAAGAAGCTGCCTGGTCTGAAATATATTCTTCAATCACTAAACTTCCATGACTACAATTTAGCGTTTCATAAATGAAACACAGCAACATGCTGTACTTTGCTTGAACGCTTTCTGATTTATAAAGGAAATAAATTTATCCCATTCCTCCATCCCACCCACTCTGAAATCAAATTAATATAACCTATGCTTGCTGATCTTGTCTAGGATGAAAAGGTCAACTTGTATCTTTTGTTTACTTCTTTGTGATGGAATTTTGTAAAAGCATGCTTTCATCAGATTTTAAATATTGGTTAAACCAAGCAGATCCAGGACACTTGCTCATCCTTTTACACCTATTTCCCAAAGAAATTGACCATAAATAAAGGAGACAAGATTAGACACCAAAAAGCCCTTTTAAAAGAATCTGAAACCCCAGTGGCTGTGAAGTGGCTTCTACTTGCAAAGTTCTTTTTAAAAGCTACACTCTGGCAAGCTGCCAATCTTGTAGGCGATTGTGAAGAGGGATGAATTTACTCATCCATACACACACATATCTCCTCCAGGTAGCTTTGTAGCAAGATTTTAGATGTTGAAAAATAGCCTTATGGCTTGAAAGGTGACACACAAATACAAAAGAGATGGCTATAAGAACCAGCCTTGACCCCAAGCAAATGTTGACCCAGTCCATCTAGTATTTCTTAGACTAACATCAGTTCCCTGGCATTTTTATCAGCCTTCCCTGGAGATACCAGGAAGCAGAATCTTTTCCAGGAAGGACAAATAATTACCATATTTTTCTGAGTATAAGATGCACCTTTTTCTCCCTCAAAGGAGGTGAAAATATAGGTGCATCTTATACACCAAATGTAGCCCCACCCACCCACTGGCCCCCACCCTTTGGCCTCTCCCTCCCAGCAGTTTACTTCCTTGCAGCAAGCAGCAAGAAGAAACAGCCCATTTCAGCTTCAGCACAGCCTAATTAGCACAGGTTGATTGGACCTCCCGACTCTCAGCTGTTTTGCTCTCAGCTGTTTTGCATGGGCCTCTACTGCTTGCTGCAAGGAGGTAAATTGCTGGGAGCAGATTTTTTTTTTCTTGTGCCAATCAAGCTATGCTTAAAACGAAAATGAAAGTAAAACAGGCTATTTGCTGTTTGTTGCAATGAGGCAAAATTGTTGGGAGGCAGAGGCAGATTTCTTTTTCTTGTTTTCCTCACCAAAAAAGGTAGGTGCGTCTTATAGACCAGAGCGTCTTATACTCTGAAAAATATGGTAAGTGTTAAATTAAGAAACTCTCCCTGAACTAAGGAATGATCTGTATAATTTTAAGAGAAGTAACAATGCAGGAGATTTAAAGCAGAGAGAAGGACGCTGAGGCTATAAGCAGACAACGTTAGACCTTTGGCCTAATTTCAAAAACTTGCTGAAAGTGATACAATTAGGCCTTTGGCAAAATAATATTTTCCTTGTATAACGACTGAGTTGTGGGAATGAGGGAGATTTCCCAGCCCTCTGTGGTTTTGATGCCCAAGCATACTGCGATTTAGTTCTAGTTTTACGTGAGATGAGGAGTGAGGAAAACATCCCTGGACAAGGGAGCAAGAAGGAAAGACAGAGAAATTCTGCTTTGGCATCAGAAAGAGGAAAATTCACCAGATGAACAGACCCTGCTAATGTTCAGGTTCAAAAGTTGTCATCTTTTACAACCATGATATCTGCCGCCATTTGCCTTTCTTTGTACCAGATTCTGCATTTCATATTAGAAAAGCACTAATGTGGGTAAAAGTTGCTAAACATTCTCCAGAGGTGGGTTTCAGCAGGTTCTGACCAGTTCTGGAGAACCGGTAGTGGAAATTTTGAGTAGTTCAGAGAACTGGTAAATACCTCTGACTGGCCCCGCCCCCATCTATTCTCTGCCTCCCAAATCCCAGCTGATTGGGAGGGAATGGGGATTTTGCAGTAACCTTCCCCTGCCATTCCCAACAAGCCACGCCCATCAAGCTATGCCCAAAGAACAGGTAGTAAAAATTTTTGAAACCCACCACTGACATTCTTTCACCTTTTTGACATTCTCCAATGTTGAATGACTTATGTTTTTTCTTCTTCTCTAAATTTCTTTTACTTATCTTTCTTTTCTTACACTTTTAACTTTCTCTTTGATTTCTTTTTCTTTTCCCCTTCTTACTTCATATTAGTTTGCATTAATTTTAATCTTCCTTTTTTAAACTTTTAATACTTAAGTAAGTAAATATATGAAGTTTCTGAACTGCGACTTCCACCAAATCTAGCCAGCATGGCCAATTGTGAAGGATGCCAAGAGTTGTTGCTCAAGAACATCTGAAGGAAATCTCTGTTGTAATAGATGTTCAAAACACATAAAATTCCTCTCGACTGAAAATACAATATGATTTTTTTGGATTTTTTTTTCCATTAACAATTTTAAATACAATACTAAAAGGAAATACAAATTAAACTCAGAAAAAGAAAAAGAGAGAATAAAATGTGGTTTTGAACTTGATGAATAATCCCTTTGTCTCCTGGAACCCAGGGGTGCTGGAGACAGTTACTCGTTTGGAGAACATGTGGACAATCTTCCAATCTCTTGTAATCCTGAGAGGTTCCAAAGAACTAATCTACTCACTTTCTTCAGTCTTTGCTGCCTTCATTGTATCTGCTCTCCAGAAAGATGTATTTAGCTTGACAGGCTTCACCAATAGTCCCTAGAAATACAGCTATGCTTAATATATATTTCCTCAGGTTTATCTCTAAACCTGAATATTAGCTCTCTTGAAATTTATCTCAACTTTTACAGAGAAAAAGACATCAGTCCATAACAAATATGAATGCAGCCAAGTTCTATATAATGTAAAGCATTAAACGGTGGGCAAATGCAAAAAAACAAGGGAAACTTTGGAATACTTCCAAATAATTTCTTTGGATACTTCCTCAAATTAAGAAAGACTGAGATTGTCCCGCTTGGGACAGTTTTAAATATTCTCTTAACTAACCTTTAATTTTGATCAGGTAAAAGTTATTCAGTTTCTTTGCACTCCCAAGGATTAAGAGCATCATTTAAAACCAAAAGAAGATAGGGGGGATTTTGAGATCTGTAAAATGGAATTTAAAAAATTAAATTAATTGGAACATTATGAGGGCTAAAATAAACTGTTAAAACACTATTAAATTAAATTGCTATCAATCAATAATGTTAAAATGTCAGCTTTTATCCCAGTCAAGAATCTTTAAGAAAACAGAGAAGAAGACAGACATATACATTTAATATAATTGCTTTTAATGTGTTTCACAGAAAATTATTTACCTATATCCCAACTACCTTAAAATGATTCAGTAACAATAGTTAGTACTTATTACAATAACTTACTGAATAGCTAGCCTTATCTACAAGTCTTTTATTAATAGCCTTTGTCCTTATTCCTACATTAATAGAAAGCACAAAACTATGTATTTTAAAATAATCTATATTTACATATTTTGATACTAATCTTGACCAAAAAAAAAAAAATCCTAAAGATTCTTATTTCATCTGTGCTGCTCTTTTACCTTAGTCAGCTTCTACCCACAGCCAGATAAGCAGACTGTAGAATCTAGTCTGTTTTGCTTTTTAAAAAAGATGAAGTACAGAAAAGGCTCCAGATCGAGGAAAACTACAAAGATTGCTATTTGTCACTGTATTAATCTACGTGTCTTTGCATTTGCTAGCATCAGGTATCATTATAGATGTCATTTTTCCACTTCTGTTTAAGCATGTACAACAGTGGTGGGTTTCAAAAATTTTTATTACCGGTTCTGTGGGTGTGGCTTGGTGGGCGTGGCATGGCTTGGTGGGCATGGCAGGGGAAGGATACTGTAAAATCTCCATTCCCATTCCAATCTAGGGGAAGGTTACTGCAAAATCCTCATTCCTTCCCGATCAGCTGGGACTTGGGAAGCAGAGAATAGATTGGGGTGGGGCCAGTCAGAATTTTTACTACTGGTTCTCCGAATTACTCAAAATTTCCTCTACCGGTTCTCCAGAACTGGTCAGAACCTGCTGAAACCCACCTCTGATGTACAATCAACAGAGTGTGAAGATGAATTGTATATCTACAAAATTCCTTACCGCATAAATAAAATCTGTCATTGGCATGGTCTACTGTTGATTATTCATGAAATTAATAGAGTTTATGTGACAAACTTGCCACAGTGCTGGTTATAAAAAGTAAGACTCAAGCTGACAATATCCTTTAAAAGTGTGTAACTGTTCAGTCTTCTTTTCATTGTTTTGTTTTTACAAAAGGCATGCTTGCTTCTATTCCTTGACAAATTTTAGTAGCCTCATCAAAACAAACAAACAACACCTTTTATTTTTCTAGGACAGAACCTCCAAGTTTATTTTGAATCAGGGTGCAAACTAACATTGTGTGGAACTTCTTTTGAATTTTCTTCTCAAGTGTTTCTCAAGTACGGATAAAAAGGAATTATGATGGACAAATATCAGCAAGAACTCAGACCTGAGGCAAAGAGTGTTCATCTTTGCCTTAGATACATGAATAAAGATGTGAAGGCACTTCAAATTTTGAAGGT